TTTGGACCTCTCTGATTGAAGTGGATGATACTCCCAACTATGATATTGTAGCGTTACTCATCTTCTCCAGGGGCCGGCCGCGGTCCTCTCTTCAAGCCGCGCGCGGTCCTGCTGCTGCACGAGCCGCGCGCGGCTCATCCGACGGCTCCACTAGCAAGGCGGGCAGTGACCGCGAGAAGCGGTCACGTGTCCCGCCTGAATCTAAGAGCGCGCCGCGAGTCTCGGGCGCGCTCTTAAAGAGACAGTGGGAGCCTAAATTGTCAAAAGGCTCCCATTGGCCCCTGTCATGCCACACTCCCCATACACTTACCTTTTGGGGGTGTGGATATGACAGGAGCCAATCACATTAGTTTTGAAGCTATTTAAACTTACCTCTCCCTTTACTCCCTGCCCTATCGTGGTTTCTGTATCAGTTCCCTTTAGCGCTTGTTGTGTTCAGTTGTGTTTCTCCGTATTGACCTTGGCTTTGTTTCTGACTACGTTTTCTCTCTATCCTTCTGTTCTGGTTGTCGGCTTGTTGTTTACTGTGTACCAGACCCCGGCTTGTCCTAGTTTACGCTGTCTCTCTGTGCCCTTGATTTCGGATTGTTCCTGACTCTGTCTCCTCTCATATACGTCGAGTCCGGCCATTCTAAGGTCCGGTAGACGTATCTCTCCTCTGTGTTGTCTTTTGTTTAGCTGAATCCTGCGTGTTGGGGTATATTCTCGTTACATTACGATAGGGCCATGGACCCCGCAGATTTGGCTCAGCAAATGGCTTCTCACGAGGCAAGGTTTGTAGAGCAGGATCACCGTATGGATCAGATAGCACAGGCTCTCCAGACGCTCTTGTCTAGAACCATTCCTGCAACCGCACCTAACCCTCCTACACCTCATCCTCCCGAAGTATCCAATTCAACCAATGCTTCGCCCCATTTAACACCTCCTCCTAGGTATGGAGGGGAAGCCAAGACATGCAGAGGTTTTATTAATCAAATAGAATTCCACCTTGAGATGTATCCTCATTCCTTTCCCACTGATAGGTCTAAAGTGGGGTTTTTGATGCTGTTACAAACTGCCATTTGTAACTGTTATGTTATTTGACAAATTGCCCTGCTTCCCTGTGTTATGGAGAAGCCTAATTGCCAGCCTTCTGCCCCATGACTATGGACCTAGTGTGTATGGCGATTTGACTGTATTTGTGGGATCTGAGCGCTGTTTGGATATATTAAGCGCTCAGATCCAAGCCATCTGGGGATAGGTTGAATGTGGGGATTCTGTTCAGTTCAATAGGAGTTATGTCTTTTTGTGTCTTTTGCTGACATGTGGTTAATGGAGTCTGCCTCTATCCCTGGATAATTGGATTACTTTCCCCATTGTCCAGGATAGAGGGCTCTGTAAATCCGGTTTGGGCCAGAAAACCATGCTGCCAGCTAGGCCCCAAAAGATACTTTTGCTAACTTTTGAACCCCTTGTCTGATTTGTGCCAGTTTTTAATATGTTGCTCCCCTGAATGGATTGATTCTAAATATGTATTTTTATGAAGATTGGATGTGTAGTTTGGAAGTTATAGTACATGTATAAAAACTGTATTTTTACTGCCTGTGTTTAATTATGTTAACCCATTGTGCAACATAATTAGATCACAGGCAGAGGGGAGGAGTTTTGTGTGTAATTGCTGGGAGTGTTTCTGTAATGTACATTTATAATTGGTTGTTTTATACCTCCCTGTGGGCGGTCCTGTATTTGCAAGACTGTAATAAAAACCAGGCTGGGTGTGCCAGCACCTCAGATCTTCTTGACCCTCTAACTTGCAGCCTTGACTCATGTTTGTAGGGGACAGCTATAATCACTACAGGGATTGCTATGCTCTTCATACTCCCTTAGCTACTGAGCTCTTGTAAGAGCTCTTGTTCCTGATCCTGCTTCACTCTTCAGAAGGAAGAGGTTCACCTACTGGAACCTGGAGCCTGGTCGTAGGTCCAGGGTGGATAGCAGACGGCGAGATCCTTGCCCAGCAGCGGCGGTTCGTGGGGTCTGCAGTACTTCTGGTGGCTACGCAGTAGTTATGGTGTCTACGGTGCTGATGGTCCTTTGGTGAGCGCTAGGAGCATTCTTTCTACGGTCCAACTTTCAGCCAGCCTGGAGGCAACCGTAACATTTGGTGGCAAGCGGTGGGATGGCGTCCTAGCGCAAGGAGCAGCACCCCAACAGCACTGGTATCGTATGAGAGAGTATTGAGGGCAACGCTAGCCACTGCGCAGCGTCCCTACCTAGAGCAGCATGGAGCCAGCAAGTCCGTGCACAGCAGCCGAAATGGAGGAGAGGTTCCTCGACAGATTGCATGGCTTCCTATCCTGGAAAGATGGGGCAGTCTCAGAAGAGGAGATGTGTGGGTACAGAAGTGAGGCCAGAGCCGAGCTGTGGGAAGAAGCCCTACAGGAAGTTCAGCGTTGGCGAGGTGATCGTAGAATCAGCAGAGGGCAGCAAATCCAGGCTCGAATGGCAGAGCGGATGCCCCTCCTGGGCAAACAACCCCTTCCAGTGTGGGTGACTAAACTAGAGGATCTAGTATACAGTGAACTGTGGCTCGACAACGCATACCAGGCGCTACAGTGGTACGCGACTCAGCTTGTTCCAGAGATAGCTGAGTATGAATTCCCTGAGTGTGGGGATTACAATGGCCCTGATCTATTCTGGGAGAATATGGACGATGATGACTTTGGAAGGGCTACAGACTCACGCTTCTGGGACCTGTATGATGACCGGGAAGACAAGCTGGGACTCCCTAGAGCTATTGGCCTGGAAGCAGACCTGCGGTATCTAGTCACCCAGGAATGTGACCTGGAGTGGAAGTACCAGCACATCATCCAGGGGTCCCGGGAAGAGACAACCCGTCCCCTTCCTCAACAGCATCCAGAGGTCCCCCTAGAGAGCACAGCAGCAGAGCCAGATCGAGAGTCCTTCAGCTGGAAGGATATCGTAGAGGTATACTGGGAGGAACCTCTGATGGCAGGTAGAGATGGGACCGAGGTCTCTCTACAGGCCCTACAGGGATGCTGGGCAGTCGGCCCAGATCCCCAACCCCTGGGTGAGTTACAGGGAGCGGAGAGCATCGACCTCCCTCCCCAGCGGCAGCCTGAGTTACAGGGAGAGGAGAGCAGCGACCTCTCTCCCCAGCGGCAGTGCACCATGCAGAGGGAAGAGACAACCGGTCTTCTTCCCCAACCCCAACCAGAGGTACCCGAGGCAGCAGACCTCATAGACTGGTCCTGGGAGGACCCCCAACAGGCAGGTGAAGATGGGACCGTAGTCTCTCTACCGGCCCTACAGGGATGCTGGGCAGGCGGCCCAGATCCCCAGCGGCAGACCCAGCTACATGGAGAGGAGAGCATCGACCTCTCTCCCCAGCCGGAGTGTGCCTTCCAGGGAGAGGAGACAACCGGTCTCTCTCCCCAGCCCCAGCATGTTCCACAGGAAGCGGAGAGCATCGACCTCCCTCCCCAGCGGCCGCAGGAGTATCAGGAGGAGGAGGTAAGCCAATTCTCCCCTCCCCAGCCAACTCCTAACTTGGGCCCAGGGTTAACAGGGGAGATGGCGACCCCCACCAACCCCCACGTTCCGTTTGCCACCGGGCAGGACTATGCCCCAATTCCCCCAGCAGAAGAGCTGGCAGCTGGGCAGAGTGCAGTTGGCCTCTGCCCTCTCTTTGACCCTTGTACAGAGCGTGACATTATGCCAGCTATCCCAGCGGAAGAGCTGGCATCAGGACAGAGCGCCGCTGGCCTCTGCCCTACCGACCCCCTTATTACAGGACTGGCCTGCAACCCCCTCACCCCAGCAGAAGAGCTGGCATCAGGACAGAGCGCCGCTGGCCTCTGCCCTACCAACTCCCTTGTCACAGGACTGTCCTGCAACCTGGAACCTACAGGCCAGTACTATTTATTGTGGGGGGGGCTACTCTGCCAATGTTTATTTGTGGGTGGGCTGCGAGACTAACTTAGGCACTGACCGACAGAAGGTCAGGTGCCTGGTTAGTCTCCCTCCAAAAGGGGAGATATGTTACAAACTGCCATTTGTAACTGTTATGTTATTTGACAAATTGCCCTGCTTCCCTGTGTTATGGACAAGCCTAATTGCCAGCCTTCTGCCCCATGACTATGGACCTAGTGTGTATGGCGATTTGACTGTATTTGTGGGATCTGAGCGCTGTTTGGATATATTAAGCGCTCAGATCCAAGCCATCTGGGGATAGGTTGAATGTGGGGATTCTGTTCAGTTCAATAGGAGTTATGTCTTTTTGTGTCTTTTGCTGACATGTGGTTAATGGAGTCTGCCTCTATCCCTGGATAATTGGATTACTTTCCCCATTGTCCAGGATAGAGGGCTCTGTAAATCCGGTTTGGGCCAGAAAACCATGCTGCCAGCTAGGCCCCAAAAGATACTTTGGCTAACTTTTGAACCCCTTGTCTGATTTGTGCCAGTTTTTAATATGTTGCTCCCCTGAATGGATTGATTCTAAATATGTATTTTTATGAAGATTGGATGTGTAGTTTGGAAGTTATAGTACATGTATAAAAACTGTATTTTTACTGCCTGTGTTTAATTATGTTAACCCATTGTGCAACATAATTAGATCACAGGCAGAGGGGAGGAGTTTTGTGTGTAATTGCTGGGAGTGTTTCTGTAATGTACATTTGTTATTGGTTGTTTTATACCTCCCTGTGGGCGGTCCTGTATTTGCAAGACTGTAATAAAAACCAGGCTGGGTGTGCCAGCACCTCAGATCTTCTTGACCCTCTAACTTGCAGCCTTGACTCATGTTTGTAGGGGACAGCTATAATCACTACAGGGATTGCTATGCTCTTCATACTCCCTTAGCTACTGAGCTCTTGTAAGAGCTCTTGTTCCTGATCCTGCTTCACTCTACAGAAGGAAGAGGTTCACCTACTGGAACCTGGAGCCTGGTCGTAGGTCCAGGGTGGATAGCAGACGGCGAGATCCTAGCCCAGCAGCGGCGGTTCGTGGGGTCTGCAGTACTTCTGGTGGCTACGCAGTAGTTATGGTGTCTACGGTGCTGATGGTCCTTTGGTGAGCGCTAGGAGCATTCTTTCTACGGTCCAACTTTCAGCCAGCCTGGAGGCAACCGTAACAGATGCATCAACTCACTGACAAAGCACTAGAGTGGGCAAATCCTATTTGGGAGGCCAATGGACCTATGGTTCATGATTTCAATAGTTTTCTTGCGGCTTTTCGTAGAACTTTTGACACAACAAAGAGGTCAAAGAATGCCGCAAGAGCATTAATGAGGATTAAACAGGAGTCTAGGTCTGTGGCGTATTATGCTATTCAGTTTCGTACCCTTGCTTCACAGGTAGATTGGACCAATAATGGGTTAACTACTGCGTTCATGGAAGGTTTATCTGACACTATATTAGATGAGGTAGCGGCAAGGGAGCTTCCTATTCCATTAGAGGATCTTATTGACTACCTCATTGATATAGATAATAGAATTCGCGACAGGCTCTATACCAAAAACAAGAATAGACGTCTGGTCACATCTATTAACCCCAGAGTTGATAAACCTGAGAGTGTTAAAGTACCCGAGGAGGAACCCATGCAATTAGGGGTTGCCAAACTCTCGGATACTGAAAAACTACTTAGAAGAAGGAATGGACTCTGCCTATACTGTGGTAGGCGAGACCATATGGTAAGGGAATGTCCTTTGCGTCCGGAAAACTCTTGCACCTGAGACCTTATAGGGGACTGGCCTTGGGTGTGATCTCTAAGTCTCCTAAATTGCCTCCTAATCGTTTGCTTCTCCCTGTTTCCCTTCATACGGGGGTGAGTTGTATAGCAGAATGCATATTAGCCTTGGTTGATTCTGGGGCTGCTGAGAACTTTATTGACTCTGAGTTTGTTACGAAAAATAACATTCCCGTCAGAGAAAGGGAGATACCCTTGGCCATTGAGGCCATAGATGGTAGACCTTTAAAAACTCCAGTCGTTACCCATGAAACTGTACCATTATTCATGTACACAGGGGTTTTACACTTTGAGACCATTCGGTTTCAGGTTATCACCTCTCCCTCTTCTCATATCGTGTTAGGGTACCCATGGTTGTGCTCTCACAATCCCATTTTTGACTGGGAATTGGGACAATTAAAATCATGGGGTAAAACCTGCCACGACTCTTGTATGATTAAAGTCACCCCTTTAAATACCATTAATGTTCCTACCACTCCTCCTTTGTCTACTGTTATACCTCCTCAATACTTGTTTCTCAAGACTGTATTCGATAAAAGGGAAGCTGATAAATTACCGCCTCACAGATCCTATGATTGTGCTATCGATTTATTGCCTGGCACTATACCTCCTAAGGGCAGGGTGTACCCCTTATCTATTCAAGAGAACCGTATCATGGAGGAGTATGTTAAAGAATCACTAGAAAAGGGGTTCATTAGGAGATCCTCTTCTCCGGCTGGAGCAGGGTTTTTCTTCGTATCTAAGAAAGAGGGTGATTTAAGACCGTGCATCGATTATAGAGGTCTAAACAAAATCACTATCAAAAATGCATACCCTATACCTTTAATTACAGAGTTATTTGACAGGCTGAAACATGCTACTGTGTTCACCAAATTGGACCTTAGAGGTGCATACAATTTAATACGCATAAAGGAAGGTCACGAATGGAAGACTGCATTCAACACTAGATCCGGTCATTACGAATATACTGTTATGCCATTTGGTCTTTGCAATGCCCCAGCAGTATTTCAGGAATTTATTAATGACGTCCTAAGAGATTTTATTCACACATTTGTAATTGTATATTTGGACGACATATTGATATATTCTACAGATTTACACACTCATCACAGGCATGTCACAACGGTATTGAAGACCCTTCTTGATAATGGTCTTTACTGTAAACTAGAAAAATGTTTATTTGACCAATCCGAAGTCCAGTTCTTGGGGTATTTGATTTCCGCCAAAGGGTTTCGTATGGATCCCCAGAAGCTTTCAGCGGTTATAGAGTGGCCTCTACCACAGGGTTTGAAAGCAATTCAACATTTTCTTGGTTTCTCTAACTATTATAGACGTTTTATTAAGGGTTTTTCTTCTATTGTAGCACCTATTACCCGTATGACAAAAAAGGGTGGTAATACTCGTGTCTGGTCTCCCGAGGCACTTCAGGCTTTCGACTTTCTTAAAACTACATTCGCCTCGGCACCTATTTTACAGCACCCTATCCCCTCACTGCCTTATATTCTTGAAGTTGATGCTTCTGAAATCGGGGTAGGTGCTGTTTTGTCCCAAAGAGAATTGCCTGAAAAGCCATTGCATCCTTGTGGCTTCTTTTCTAGACAAATGTCCAAAGCTGAAAGGAATTATGATGTGGGTAATCGTGAACTCCTTGCTATTATCTTAGCCCTTAAAGAATGGAGACATCTGTTAGAAGGAACTAAGGATCCTATTCTAATTTTTACTGATCACAAGAATCTATCCTACCTTGGTGAAGCTAAAAGATTATCTTCTAGACAGGCCAGATGGTCACTATTTTTGTCCCGTTTCAATTATATTATCACCTATAGGCCAGGTGATCGCAACATTAACCCCTTAAGGACGGAGCCAAATGTACACGTTGTGAACAAAACAAAATGTAAACAAAACCTGGCATTTGCGCTACATGTCTGTCCAACCGTAATACACCTCTTTCATAGTAAATGCACCCACCCTTATTATATATCATTTTATTCAGGGGAAACAGGGCTTTCATTTAATATCAAATATTTAGCTATGAAACATAATTTAATATGAAAAAAATGGGAGAAAATACGATTTTATTGGATTTTTTTAGTTCTACATGACAATTAAACGGTCAGTGTCATAATACTGTTTGCTTTTACTGCAATAAAATACACATATTTGTATTCAGCAAAGTCTCACGTGTAAAACAGTACCCCCTATGTACAGGTTTTATGGCGTTTTGGGAAGTTACAGGGTCAAATATAGCACGTTACATTTGAAATTGAAATTCGCCAGATTGGTTACGTTGCCTTTGGGACTTTATAGTAGCCCAAGAATGAAATTTACACCCATAATGGCATACCATTTGCAATAGTAGACAACCCAAGGTATTGCAAATGGGGTATGTCCAGTCTTTTTAGTAGCCATTTGGTCACAAACATTGGCCAAAGTTAGCGTTAGTATTTGTTTGTGTGTGAAAAATGCAAAAAAAGCCAATTTTGGCCAGTGTTTGTGACTAAGTGGCTACTAAAAAAGACTGGACATACCC